CCGGACTAAGAGCTGGAAGCAGCAACCCATGTGGCTGGGCAGTGGCGCTGACCGGGCTGAGCAGCCCCGACCAGGCTGCATTATCAGTGGTCCTTGTCTGACAGTGAAGCCACTGGTTAGATTTGGTTCCTCTGGCTCACAGGGACAGACCATGTGGCCATTTAGAAAAAAGGCTTAAGGGGTAGGGATGAAACCCTGGGACGTGAGAAAGCTGGCTACTGACCTCGGCCTGCAAAGGAGGCAGGAGGGCTCAGCCAGGAGCGGCAGTGGGAGGACGGGAGCCCCCGAGGCCAGCACAGCAACTGAGCGGGACTTCTCTGCCTGCAGGCAGTCTGCTGTGGCAACGGAAGAGAAGCGGCTGAGTCCCGGCTGCACCTTTCAAGAAAGTGGAGGGTGCAGATGTGATGGAAACTCCTGTGGAGGTGGGGGTGGGGCAGGGATGTTCCAGGGCAGATGAGAACAGGCTGCTGTCAACAGTCCCCACCTCTCTCTGCCCTTGCAGACCCATGACACTGAGCAGCCAGGGCGTCGGAGAGGCTCAGGGTGGTGCACAGAACAGAAGCCCCTTGGCAGAGGCCAGCCCTGATCTTGTGTGGTTTGCAGACTTGGAAGTTCAAGAACTGACTCAAAGGTATTGCTTATGAGGAAAAAGAACCAAAACTACAATGAGAAGGGGCCACATACACGGTGGAGCTCTCTACTGGATCCAGCTTGCAGGCCCTGAGGATGCCTTTCCAATGGAGGCAATCCCAGACCCCATAGCAGGGCCCGCACTACCCACCCCACCTCCCGCCCGTCGCTGTGACACACTCTCAGGGTGGCCCCAAAACATAAAACAGTGTTCTCTTGTGGATGATTCTGTCCCAAGGGCACATTTGACAATGTGTGGAGATGTTTATGGTTGTCACAACTGGGAGGGGGCGCTACTGACAGCAAGTGGGCAGAGGCGAGGGTGCTGCTGAACCTCCCACAATGCACACGATAGCCCCTCAACAAAGACTCATCCATTCCAAAACAGCCACAGTGCCAAGGCTGAGAAGCACTGAGCCAGACCTTCCCAGAGGCAGAGCCTGGGGCTGCCAGACTTTCTAACCAAAAGCTCTCAGTTCACTGGCAAAGACAGTCACCAAACAGATGCCCAGGAGATCTGACGGGCCTGCATTTACCTCCCTCCCTCACCCTGCGTCTGAGGACACAGTATATGCTCTGCGCCAGTGACCGAGACATGGTGTTTTTCCTGTATTCCTGTTCAATTCCTGTCCTGGAACTCTGGGCCCGACTGTGGGCGTGTCCCCTCACCTGCAAGGGCCTCCATCAGGGTACTGCTCTCCTTGGCACCTGGGGGCTCTCCTCCTGGCTCCACCTTGCAGAACGCCAGCAGTCAGAACAATTTCTGCTGAGGTAAAAGAAAAGGAAAATAAATCGCAGCCAGGGCTAGGTACAGGGGCCGGGGCAGTGAGGTCAGAATGCCTTCAGAGGAGACGGTCAGAGTAGGCCCTGCGGGAGCTGCAACACCCAGGTGGGCCCACCCCTGTCACTGGCAATCAAGGTCCTGGCTCAACAGTCACTCCCAGAAGCGGTGTTCTGCGGGATGCCCGGGAACTCTGGTCCAGGCTCTGTCAGTTCCCCTCGACCCAGGGCTGACACAGAGCACAGGTGGGCATGGCCACAGCTTCCTAGCTCCATGCTGAGCAAGCTCACGCCCTCCAGCAGTCTTCAAATAGCTAGAGAAATTCCCATGGATTTTAAAATTTTCTTGGTAGTTGTAAGGATTTGAATACAAAAATGTTAAACCAGAAAAAAAGAACAAATCATTTGAATAATAAAGTTTTGGACTGAGGAATGATTTTTCTAAGCCTGACATCAGATGTCTGACAAATTTAACTACATAAAAAAATTTAATGTAAAAAAACAAAAACAAAAAAGGAAATACGTGCAATGCAAAGATTCATCCCTATCTGATAAAGACCTCTATATATTAATAAGAAACGAAGGAGAATTGGCAAAGATCATGAATATGTAATTCACCAAGAAGAAAAACCAGTAAGCAATACATTTTTTGGGGGGTCTCACCTCAAGTGCAATTAAGAAGTATAATTTGGCTGGGTGCTGTGGCTCACACTTGCAATCCTCGCACTTCAAGAGGCTCGGGATGGAGGACTGAGTACAGGAGTTCCTGACCAGCCTGGGCAACATAGTGAGACCCCGTCTCTACAAAAAATTAAAAAATTAGCCAGGTGTGAGGGTAGGCGTCTGTAGTCCCAGCTACTAGGGAGGCTGAGGTGGGAGGATTGCCTGAGCCCAGGTCTAGGCTGGGGTGAACTGAGATTTCGCCACTGCACTCCAGCTGGGCGATAGAAGGAGACCGTGTCTTAAAAAAATAAGTAAATAAAAAGTAATTAATTAGTAAATTTAATTTAAGCCGCCTGTAATCCTGCCTGCCAGAGAGGCTGAGCGGGAGAATCGCTTGAGCCCAGGAGTAGGCGGCCAGCCTGGGAAACAAAGCGAGACCCCGCCTATTTTGCAAAAAGGTATTTAAAGTGCAATTTTTTAGTCTGGAAGCAGATTTTTGAAAGTACCTTACCGGCAAGAATTAGGTAACAGGCTCTCCTGTTCACAGCTGGGAGGAGGCTCGATTAGCTGGGCCGGTGGGAAATTTGACAACTTACAAAGGCCTGAAGATGCGCGGGGGGAACTCAGCTCACAGGAAGCCCCGCATGCGTCGGCACCCCGGGAATGCACCTGCAGGGCCGCCTCCTCCACGCCGCGCCGGAGAGCG